AGGCCTCTCGTGGCCTGCCGGCTCTGGGTCCAGTGCCAGGCTCCGTCTTGGGCTTCACACAGAATAAAGAGCAGCTCTGTCTGGTGGTCCTGACGCACGGGATTCAGCCACTGCTCATCCTCTGCACCACAGACAAAACCCACTGTTCTATTTTATTAATGAAGAAGAGTCAACGTGGAAAAACCTAAGAGGTTTAGCTTAGTCACTTCCTGGGTTTCATGTAGCACTGTGTGAGATGCAGGGCTCAGTGTCTTCGCACATTTGAATGACATTCTAACAAAAAGCCAATTTGCATATTACCACCAATGCACTTTGGATACACCTTACCCTGGGAAGTACCAGAAAGCGTTTTCCAGGTAAAAACCCACTCTGGACCTGCCGATGTGACAGATTAGACTTCATTTAAACATGAGGGCTACTCTTGTGATTAATCTGCTGGAGTGGATTTCAGATGCGGTACCTCACAGCAGAAATAACAGCAGATTGTGGTGCGTCGCAGCCTTTAAACAAAGCAGCTTAGACGTAATCTGGGCAGACTACTGAGAAGAGCAACAACAGCATCCAAGCTACAGTCCCCCCCATATGGCATTTAAACAAGTAATGACTCTGAACTTCTCTGTCTCCATGACAGCAGGCACGATACTCAGAGATTCAACTCGACGGTCTCCTGGATGTGGGTGCAATCTAATTTGATTGTCAACTCTGTGGTTAGCTGAGGCAGAAGAGCAGACATGAGGCCTTGGCTGCATTCCTGTTACAGAGTCATTTTCCTTTGGTTCAATGTGAAGCATATAGACTGACTAATACTGTACATGTGACTCCCAAAGACCGACTGTAATCATTTCACGTGCTTTCAGCTATTGTGCACTTATAAGCCAAGAAACATGTTAAAAATGCCGTTCAGAAATTTTGTCTGGATCTGGCAAGTGCATGGTTAACTGATCAGCAGCACACTGACATGACAGAACTGTGCCGTGCAGATTAGACATCAAGAGGGCTCACTCATGATCATGTGGAACTCATCTGTGGTTGACTTATGTTACCAATACTACGACAACAAGCGAGCAAAGATGCTTTAAAAGAACCAGCAACAATGAGGAGTCATAGAAAGCAGAGAGCCTTGGCATACAAACAAATTCCTATTTATGTCTCTATGACAATCTGCGCCGTCTAAACAAAGATTATTTGGGTTTAATCTCCTTCTGACTGAAGGCCAAGGCTGCATGTGAATCAGGCAGTCCGATCACAGCAGAGGCCTCAGATTACTATTAGCTCAAGTCTGTTTCAGAGATCAGTTCTTGGCCTAATGAGCCACTTCACTGGGAGCTTTTCATTTGGTAGAAACTGCAGACTCCACCAGAGGCAAGCCACTTGTATGACAATCACACACAGTGAGAGCAAACAACCATATCTAAGGAAGGTGTGTTGAAATTTAACTTACTACAGCTTTGAAGGAGCTGAAGGCAGTTAAAACTACATCAGTATAAGTTAGGGTTAGCTCACTGAGCACAGGCAAAGGTTATAGTTTCTATTATTTCTTTGGGTCTTAAATACAAACTTTCAACTATTTTAATGAGATAAATGCGATAAGTACAAAAAAACAACAACAAGATATTACAACGGCCAAGAAGTGGGGACTTCTAAGTATAATTTAGATTGGCACATGTACACAAATCATTAACTACAGACATAATATGGTGATAAACTTTAACAACACTGAATTTTGCATTGATCTTAACAGTTTATTCTTGACCTTGGAAACATTTTTGCTAAAACAATCTCCAGTGAAGGACCATTTAATGGCATTGACACATTAACTCATCTTGTGGACTGTGCCAAGATCCTGGACTTCCTGGATCTTCTAGCATTCAGTGGGTAGTTTAACAGAACACCGTGACACCAGTTCCTGTACAACACAAGTCAACATTACTTGTGCAGCTACACAAAATCTTTACTGTAGAAACTAGGTTAATTTTACATGTGTGGTTACATACAGATGCAGTCTGCTCAGATGATTTGAGTCACGAGTTCATATTTGAAAAGCTTTTCACATCACACACCGTGCAAATTTTAATAGAGTGTAGTTCTGTGCAAAACTCTTGTCACCCTTCATTTCTCTTTATATTTTGCTTCCAAGGCTCTAGACTTTCATGTAATTTTTAAGTGCTCTTGAGCAACAGTTCTCCACGCTTGCTGAAAGTTTTTCTCTGGGCATTAACTGCTATTTTACTCGGTCTGTTGCAAAAGCATATGTCCTCATTTCTTTAATTGAATTCATGAAAAATGCCAACGATAACACATGAAAGGGTGGTTTTAACGCAGATACTCATAAGGAAGAAAAAACAGAGTAAAGGCCGAGTTATGAAAAATTACACTACAACTGGACTAAGAATCGGTGGCAACAGGTCTTATTTAGTGATGAATCAAAATTTGTAATCTTTGGATCAAAGTGTCATCATGTGTACAGAGGAGCTCAGAACAATGGATAGAAAAAAAATAAATGATGGAGCAGTATCAGTCGTGGATTGACCTCCTCAGAGCCAACACCTCAGCATTATTGAAGCAGTGACAGAGACAATGAGGAAAGGCAACCAGCATCCAAAGAAGAGCTTTGAATGTCCTTCAAGAAGCCTGGAGAACTAATCCTGAAGACTAATACATAAAGAAATTACAACAAGTGATGGTCAACCTCATTAGAATAGTACAAACTCTGTTTTTGCCTTATATGTTTTGTTTTTAATCTTTCATGTTTGCACACTTTAATAAATCACTGTCTATTTCCCATTTTCCTGACAAAATATCATGAAATGAGGGGCAACTCAAGACTATTGCAAAGAACTATATGTCCTCGATTAAAAAGAAAAAAACAAATACAAAGCTGTGGACAACTTGAATGTGGTTACATACTGTGCAAGCCTTTAATCCAAATGGTTCCCTGCTGTGATCCAAAGCTTGCCTGTTGATCAAATCTATTAAAAGTGGCAAGTAAACAGTCCTGCAGCTATTATTTGACCAATCTGGTGTCAATATGCAACAAGAAGACTAATATCATCATGTCCAAAAGCAGTCATTTAGTTATAGTTTACATAACTGATAAGGGGAAACCAGCCAATCAGATCGATAAAACTTTATGGGTGACTAACAAGGGGCTAAATGGCCCACTTAAATCTTGATCAGCTCTGAAGGCCTCTGTTATGTCAGGACACAAAGCAGAGCGAGGGGAATCATCCTAATCGTTTGCCACTCAAACTGAAGTGAGGTGATCAGAGTCACGTAGTGCCACTTGATAGTGTCAACTGCCATGAGCCACAGCTGAGACACATTAGGGTTTAAACGGCAGTAACTAACACTAAATGCTGTGATTATAGCACTAAGTTCTTTTAATGCTGGAGGGCTTCCATCCCACCAAGAGATGAGGCATCATGCTGGCAGCAAGGAAGAGGAGGGGAGTCAGCGGGGGAGTTCCTGACATGGTATGAGGACGGGCGTTTCAGATAGCCATCCTAAGAAATTTTAGACTTAAATAGTTTGATTAGGGCGGGGGTTTGTATCCTGGGAAGCGTAATAATGATGAGTTTTATAATCAACAAACTAAATTTTCTAGATCCCAACTGTTTTGCTATTTCTCATTTGAGAGGGGAATTCCTAATGCTTGTAAAATGTAGGAAGTAGGTGGTTCTAGTAGCAGATGTGATTAAGAAAAGGGCCTAAATCCCTCAGCAGTGTGACGTCAAACCTCTCTCTCCGTGCTGCCTCCAGGACAGAAAGGGATTCACCAGTGTCTGACAAGCAGCAATCACACCCCAACACAGCACAGCGAATTGACTTCCACCTAAACTGCTTTTTTGTGATGTGCTTACAGGCTAAACGATCTGCCCCGCCACCACTAACATAACAAAAATGCTCTGTAGCGAGTTGAAAAAAAAAAAAAGACAAGCTCGAAATGAAAAACCTTCTCCTCGTCTCCGTGACGAGTGCACGACGATGCAGTGATAAGAACCGGCTTGCTCAAGTCAAATTCCTTCTCCTAAAGCAGTTAATGTGTATGAGGGCGCGAGGCCAGGCGACAATCACGTTTGACCCACATTTTGCCGGCTCTCAAATTTCACCTCACTGTTCCTCTGTGCAGGTTTTGATTCACTGACTGGGGCACAAAGCTGGAGAGCAGAAAGTCATGTGTTATTCTGTGATGGCTTAAATAAATAAAATTGTCCAAGAAGATGGTAAATAACACTTTAGTACACCAGTACACCAAGAAATGAGCAACACATCTGGCCAATCAAAACCTATTATATACAAACCTTTTGTGAATCCCTGCAACACAGTCAGTATCTTGATCAACTTTTTAGAACTTTTTGCATGGAGGACTCTTTATGTTGGTGCCCAGGTAAGGTAACTGTTGACAGATCCACTGCCTGCCTATGATGTGACAGATGTTTCAAAGGACCTGACATGCCAGGCACTTAAAGCTTCAATGGGGAGCTTGTGTCTGGACTCATAAAGTTACCAGTGTAGGTGTCTCATGCATATACTTGTGGAAGTGCTACAATATTAACATTTTATCTTTTTTTTTTTATTTATTTATTTATAGGGCCAAAACGTAGTGTCTGATCTATTTCAGGACTATGTGGTAAAAAGTGTAAAAGCTGACTCAGATACTTGTTGAATCAAAAAGAAAGAAGGTATCAATAAATTCCCAGTTCTGCTACAACTTCATCGCTACTTTGATTACGGTTTAAAAAAAACACACAACAAAGTTTAGAATTTTTGTCAAGGTCAAAAAACGTCATATCAGAGGAACAGATGCAGATCTTGTGCAAATAAACAAACACTTTTCTGCTTGGAATGACTTTTTTTTTTTAACTGAGCAACAAAGAGAGGATCGGGGCGTGCAGGACGAGAAACAGAGGGTCCAACCTACACACACAGCTGTCCCGTCCCGGGGCACCGGAGCATGGAGGGAACAAAGAGAAGACAGATGCAAACGACTTTTTTCTTACCAAAACGATTGCAAATCTCTCCTCCAGTTCACCTGCGTCTGGCATGGGGAGTTTCAGGGGCATGTTGTGTCCCCTGAGATCAGTGTGGTGGTCCATGCTCCCTGCGTTCCCCATGATTCCTCTTTTGACCAGAAACCCCAACTTTTTCCCCTCTTAGTCCACTTGAGAAAAAAACAAAACAAAAAAAAACTCTGCACGGCGATAAAAAGGGGAAATATCCGCACGCTCTTCGCTTTGCTCAGTCGCCCTGGCAGGATCCTCGCAGGTTTATCCAGATCACTTCTTCTTCTTCTTCTTCAACATAAAGCACATGTGAGGGAAGTAACATAATGCGACGGGTCCGAGCGCAAGCGGCGGCGGCGGCAGAGGAGTCCCTGATGAAACATTTTCACGGCAAAGGGAAGAAACCTGGAAACGTGACTCCTCTTACTCACTCGGACCTTTTCTATGCAGTTATCCGTATCTTGCACAATTTCGGCTCCACTCCCAGCCGGTAGTAATGACGACGAGCATGATTCACGATTACTGCAACCCTATCTGTTACTTAGTAGTGACTGAGTGAATGAGTGAGTGAGCGGGTCCGGCTTTCCTAATCCCTCCACTGCTGACCAGCTAGTTAAGGAGGAGGGGGTGTCCACACGCTCACACACACTTGGACACACTCGCAGCCTGCGCGCACACTCTCATCCCTCTTTTACAATGAGTCCTTTCAGGGGGGCGAGCCTCCCACTTCTTCTTGGGGCGTAGCTCCCAAAGCCGTAGCTAAGGAGATGCTCGGTGTTGCATTGTGGTACTTTGAGTCCAGAGTCAGGGGCCAGTAATCAAGGGACGCCCTCGTGCAAAAGAAGAGCGAGTGCAGGGACTCTGTGAAGAGTCTTACGGTGTGTTTTTCACTTTTTGTGTAGATAAACTTAATTTGTTATATAATATCCTGCCAAACTCTGTCACAATGACTTCATTAGTCAAGCGTTTTCTACACATGTATGATTATCAGTTTTGAGCTTAACCAGTTATCATATTGAACAATGTTTTCCAAAAACAGCACATGAGTGTAATAAATCAGTAACTCCAGGCATCATAAGTAGTCACAATGAGATAAGGCTATTTTAATTTACACCTATTTCTAAATTTTGACCATGACTATTTGAGGGAAAAGATTTGCACACAATGACCTTTTCCCTCAGAACAGTCATTTATTAGACAATATTTATTGGCTGAAAATGTGCAAACCAATCACTGCGGTCAAAGCAACAAACACAGACAGGTGTTTTTAATTGTGTGTACTTTTCTATAGCAACAGCAAACTTATAACTTATAACTTTTAACAGGAAGCGATCTCCAGCAGAATCAGGCTCCGGGTGGGACAGCTATGTGGTGGAAAAGAGAGACCACTAAAAAACGGGACAAATGACAGCTAAACAAAGATGCGAGGAAAGTTAATAATGGATGGATGGAGAAGTGCCCAGTGCATCAGGCAAAGTCCCTCAATGTGACTAAGGGGTGGTTCAGGATCATAACATCCAACCCAAACTATAAGCTTGATCAAAATGGTTTATCAGCTATTTCAAACATTTCCCCCCCAATGAACTTACATTTTAAAAAACTAACTCTTGAACCTCTTGAACATTGGATTCAGTGTAAAATGTGATGATCAACATTCAGTGACAGTAGTAGCAGTCTGCTCAGTTGTGACACCTTAACATTTGTGTAATAAACATCTATACATATATTTCTGTATTATACTAAGTACATATTCAGTGGTGAAGGGCAGTCAACATCCACTGTAGAGTTCCTATCAGATCCAGTCTGTTTTTGTTTTTAAACATATTAGGATCTTCAACATGGCTTAAAATGAAATCTGATGCGGTCAGGGTGGAGACCACATTACGCACAACTGGGTGACATCAGCATGCAACCTTTTGGAGAAAATCCAGAGGTTCTCCAGATGCACAGTGCTTTCATTCAGCCTGCTTGACTGACCGAGTAGGGGAGGGTGTCATATATGAGGTTACTTGGCTGCAAACACCAAGGATGCAAAGCACAGCTGACTGACCTCATTCGCTCATTACGTGTTTAAAGTTGAGTATTGTTATTTTGCTCTGTAAGAACCCCTCTCCCCTGCACTGGCTTATTCAAAAGCCATTTATGCTCATTTTGATGTCTGAAGATACTAATTTACCAACAAATTTATTTCATACACCAATTCAACTGCTCAATAACACAAATAGCTTGTCATATGGCAGCTCAGTGCATTTAGATATGTTGACACGGTCAAGGTGATCTGCTGAAGTTTAAACTGAGCATCAGAATTAGTGCCAGGCGGCCTAGTGAGCGGCAGTTCTCTGGGTGAAAATGCCTTGTTGATGTTGAGGTCAGAGGAGAACGATTAGACTGCTTTGAGCTAATATTACAACCAAGGTACACAGAAGAGCATCTCCGTACACACAATACGTAGAACCAGTAGCAGAAGACCACACCGGGTGCTACTCTTGTAAGCTAAGAGGAAAATGATGCTGTATTTTGCATAGACTTACCAAAACTGGACAACAGAAGATTGGAAAAACATTGCCTGGTCTGAAAAGTCTTGATTTCTGCTGCAACTTTTAATGGTTGGATGGTAGAACCAGAATCTGGTGTAAACCTGTGAAAACATGGAGCCATCCTGCCTTGTATCAACGGTTCAAACTGGTGGTGTAATTTTGTTTGAGATATTTTCTTTGTATGCTTTTACAGACTTTTGGGGCTCCATGTTTTTTTTATGGCAATATAAATAACAACGATAATAATGTCAACATAATTTAACTTTGAATCTTGCATTTGTTCTCTGAAAATTGTTTCTTTTTCTCTACATAAATCTAAATGTGCAGCTCACTCTATAATCCACCTATTATCTCAGACAATAAACAGCCTTTACTTTACAATGATCAGCACATGACACGAGCTCAACAATGACTTAACATTAAAACAATGACAACAACACTGTGTGTCGATTAAGTGCAGTGTCAAACAAATGAGGTTGTGTGCTGAAATAACAAGCGTTCCTGACACAGCGGACGGTGACACAGCAGCAATAAAAACAAACAGTGAGGAAGACTGTTTCATTCTTACCCCTCAAAGTAAATAATGGTTTCATTTTTAGTAGATATAGAATGTGCAGAAAGGTGATTAACATAAGCTTAATTAAAATAAACAACTGATAATTTTTCTTTTACTCATTTAATCAACAGCACCTCAGTTTTCTACCTAACACAAATTGCTGAATATTCTTCCAAAGATTGTACATTAGATGCCAGCAGGATGTTGCATGTATGGGTGGAGGCGGCATCTTGCAGCTGCATTTCTGAAAAATCTTGGGGGGGGTGGTATGATGGCCTCAGATATGTCCATGAGGAAATATAAAATGCAAAAGAGGTGCCAAAAATAAAAGCAGCACAATCACGCCAGTGTGTGAGGAATCTCACAGGGAGTTCACTTGGCTGCTCAGTTTAGTAACATCTGTGAAATCAAGCTCTCTTAAAAGGAGACTCATGAAGTTATAGCCTTCATAAGGCTCGAGTAGATTAACAAATGTGTCTTTGTATTTTAACTTATGGCGCTGGAGGGTGCAGTGATTGAATCAAGTACCAACAGATCGTAAGGATAATGGTGCCATCTAGTGTATATTGCTTCCTACTCTGGAGCAGATTAAGACAAAGCTAAATGTCCACAACCCTTTAAAGGAAGACTAAATAACCTGATCATTATGGTTAATGGTCAGGGGTACCAAACATATGGGCCAGGGGCCAGAAGTAGCCTGCCAAGGACTCAAATCTGGGCCACAGGACACCTTTCAAAAAAAAGAAAAAAAAGAAAAAGTGGCCACTTAAGGAGGGCAGTTTTGGGACTTGACTATATTTAAGTTTAACAGCTTTTCCTACTGACATGCAGACAACACCAAAGTAAATAATTTCTATTCACCCCCCCCCAAAATCTACAATAGAAAATTCTATTGTTATGGTGGGTCCGCATGAGAAAAACAAAACAAAACATTAACTGTAATACGTTTTTTTAAAAGTAGTATTTATTTATTTATTTTTAAATAGTAAAAGCTTATTACAGTAGAGTGGGTAATGAGCTACCAGAGGTTTCTGTAAATTTTCATATTTATTTCTTAGAATTTAAGCCCAAAGAATCATGCTGGCAGATTTCTTTGACCTGGCCTTGTGAAGTCTTTCCAAGCTCCTTAGACTACGATGACCTAACATATTTACTTCCCATCATAACCAGTGTCCAGGATACTTATTTTCACATGTAGTTTGACGAGGAAGAACCACAGATATATAAAAAAAATAAATAAAATAAAATAAACCCAACACATCATTGTATTTAGAAAAATCAGGCACGTTTCTTTGCCCGCTATTTTAAATGAGTTCCCGTTTATGCCAAAGATGTAAATATTTTACACCCGCTCTGCACTGGCAACTAAAGACTTTACAGTACTCTGACACAAATGAAAGCCAACAGGGTTCAGGCAGCTGAGTATCAAACTATATTTATTGTATACAGTATAAGGACAAAAAAAAAAAATTAAAGAAAAAGAACATTTGCCAACATCACCATGCAAATCTAAAATGTTTAAATTTGAAACGCAGGTGAAAATGAACAAGAACAAAAAAGGTTCCATCAACACACAAGCATAAAACAACGTTAATGTTTGGATAGACTTTTTACAAACGTATTCAAATTGGCAACATGTCATGTATGTATGTATACAATGAGTGAAATACTTATTCTTGGATGAGATAAAATGTCTCTGATAAAAGGTGAGGAGTTTTTCCCCTTTTAAAGTCCTGGACAGGCATAAAATCAACTTTACACATGAAAACAACCGTTTTTCTGCTGTGCAATACCACCAACCACTGAGTTACAATAACTTTTACATCTACATTTTTATATTAGTCAAACCCTTTTATAAAAAGAAACCTTTTCATTTAGCATTTTTGGTCCAAGAACCTTACTGTACTACCAGTCAGATAAATCCACTTTGAAGGTAACAGTATTGAGGTAAACCATCCATAATGACGCTTTCCAAGCACAAGTATTTCTCCTGTTGAAGATAAACTGTGCATGGACAGATTATTTCTAAATGTTCTTTTAAAAACGCGACTAAAATCTACATGAGAATAATGTCACAAAATCTCCCATCTATGAACAGATCACTACTGACTATCCCAGCAGCATTCCTCATAAGTACATGAATATTTAAATAGTCAAGTCCATCCTGAATATGAATTCTTACCATTATCTGGAAAAAAATTAAACAAATATCAAGAAACAGAAAAGAAAGCATGTCATTTAGCTTACTCAGACAGCTGAACATCACAAAAACCCCACAATGGTCCCGTCATTACAAGCCATAATATGAGATGTACTCTGTCCTTATGAATTTCAAATTGGTTTTGGTGAATAAAACATTAAGTTACCTAATCTCAAAGTCTGTATTTGGCCCCAAATGATCATTATTATCCTTTTTATTTTTTGTTGTGTGAAGTCTTTCATTTAGGGAAGCACAGTCGATAAACCTAATAGAAAAAGAAAACTGAATTGAAAAGGAGAAACAAAACAAAACAAAAAAAATTGTTGACTCTTTCCACTTAACAGACTCCTCCCGTCTGTTGCTGAAATACATCAATAGTGTCTTCATCCTCCATCTCCAGCTGCAACAAAGA